TGCTATTTTACTAGTTTAACAGTATGTGATTTGATATCCATTGGATGTGTACATGTATTCTTGTATATGTTTTACGTGTTATGGATTAGTTTACAGCATGTGAGTTGCCCGTACGAGTTGAGTTGAATATGGCACATGAGTTGTCCGTGCGGTTGTGGCACGTGAGTTATTCTTGTTGTAATGGCACGTGAGTTGTCCGTGCATTGTGTGGATAAGGATTTATCATTATAATAACCCGACCAGTCGTTTGTGTATTTGTGCCTTGTTTCCCCCTTTGATGATTCTCACATGTGTATTTGTGGCTTTATGACTTGCGGAGTTAGTTAGTTTCGTTCCGGGAGGGTTTTGGGTTGAGTTGGATCCTTTGGTTTTTGGTTTAGAAACCTAAATTAGAAATATTGATCAAACTTTGATTTTTTCGGAAACAACCCCAAAATGGTCCTTTGACAGCTCTGATAGGATCATATCGTGATTTTCGACTTGGGCACATGCCCGAAATTGAATTCGGAGGTCCGTAAGTTGATTTATGTTAATTTCTCGAAAGTTGGCAATTTGAGGCTTAAGAGTTTTTCCAAGTTTGACCATAGGTTGACTTTTTTCTATCGGGTTCAAAAAATAGTTTTGGGACTTGGAATAAGTCTGTTTTGCTATTTGGAAATTGTCTGCAAAATTTTGTGTCATTTGGAGTTGGTTTGATAGTATTCAGACTCTTGGTTCCAATTCTAGGGGTTCTTGAGTTTTCATTTAAAATTCATGCTTTTTGATGTCCGATTTGTTGTTCTAGATGTTTTGAAATTGGTTGTTTTGATCGCGCGAGTGAGTTTGTATGATGTTTTTAGACTTGTGCGGATGTTTAGTTTTGAGCCTAGAGGGCTCGAGTAAGTTTCAGACATGTTTCGGAAAAGGTTTGGACTGAAAATAGGTTGTTGGTGTCTCTGATGCCTCGCAATTGCGAAGTGAACAGGTGAAGGTCAGGTAGTGCGATTGTGATGCCTTACTCGCAATTACAAAAATTGGTTGTTTCGAGTAGGATCGCGTTTGCGATGGAAATAGGGTTCGCAATTGTGAACCCATTGTTGCATTTGTGAAAATCCCCATATGCTGTCAGTAGCCGCATTTGCTACATTTTCTTCGCAATTGCAAGGGGTCACAATTGCGAAACCCAATTTTACTATTGCGACATCTACAACTGATCAAAAGGGTGAAAAGTCGGGATTTCATATCATTTTCTCTCATTTTAGAACCCTGGACTCATTATGAGGCGATTTGAAGAGAGGATTTTCTTCTACAAATATTGGGTAAGTGATTCTAATAAATTTTCAACTACATTTCATGATTATATATTAGATTTAACATCAAACTTATATGAATCAAAGAGGAAATTTGGGGAGTTTTGTAAAAGTTTTGAAAAGGGAAGATTTGAGTTTTAGGAGTCGATTTGGACTCAGATTTGATAGCAAAGCACATACATAGACTCTTGGGGTTATAAGTAGTTGGAATTTACCCTTGGACTGGGGGTTTGACTGGGCGAGCGCAGCATTGACTTTTATTAACTTTTAAAAAAATGAGTAAATATCATAGCTTTATCTATTGTAATTGAATTTTCTTGGATTATTTGATGATATTAAGTCATTTTTTTGTTAAATTTGATCCGTGTGGGGGCGAATTTTAGGGGAAAAGCTATTTGTGAGGGTTGATTTGGCCTTGTTGAGGTAAATATCTTGCATAACTTTGTGTGGGGGAGCTACCGCTTAGGATTTGGGTTATTTGTGTTAATTGTACTATGTGGAAGACGTCTACTCAAAGTGACGAGTGTGTACATGAGCTATATATGGTATTTTGACTGGTTTAGACTTTTAGATTTCTTCCATGCATTTAGTTGAATTAGTTACAATATGTTACATCTTTCATAGTTAAAATTCCTCTCGCTTTCTCTAATTAACGTTGCTAGCATTTTTTCTATCCTTTATTATTGTAATTGCTTTTATATGCTTTAGTTGAAGTTGCTACCTCTCTTATTATCTTGTTATCCCTTTATTGTTGAACTACTCTTATTTGAAGTTGTTATTTCGTGGCATATCTTCTCGTTGGGTTATTGATGTTGAATTTGTGTAAGCCATTATCACGTTGAGGTTGAAGTTGTTAGTTATTGAGATATCTTTCTTTATTGAGTATTCCTCAATTCATTTTATTATTATTGAGATTCTTGTACACATTGTGGTTAAGTCGTGGGCTATATATTGTGGTAGCTATTGTATTGTTAATTTTGGCAAGTTGTGGCATATAGACACGTGGTGTGAGTTTTTATTGTGTTGTGATATATATGCACATGCGCCTGTATAATGATAGGGGTTGATGTGCATGTGACGGCATAAGGTGGGATTTATGTGCATATTGCTAGTAAGGGAATTACTTGAAGCCACACAATAACATAAGGGGGCTAAAACGCATGTATCTATTTCGTGAAAGTTTTTTTCAAAAAAATCTAAATGTAAGGCTCATACGGTGATATAAGGAAAGATTGTGGTTGAAATTGTGAAATGCGAATATAAGGCATGGTACCTCGGTTGTGATTCTTGTTGTACATTCCATGTTAAAAAGGCTTGATGGGTGAACAGTTCTTGTCGTCTTTCTTCATTGTCTTACTTGTATTTGTCTGTATTTGATTACTTGTTGTTCTCATTATGTGTTCACTTCTCCTTGCCTTTCTTGCCTTAAATTCTGTCATTTTCCTATATTATTGTACTGCTTTGCTATCATTTATACTTCTCGTTTTCTATTATTGGTCTTTATTTTACTTTGTCAAGTTTATCTTATCTTCGTAAGTATCCTGGCCTCGTCACTACTCTACCGAGGTTAGGCTTGATACTTAGTTGGTACCATTATGGTGTAATCATATTACGCTTCTGCACAATTTTTGTAGATCTAGGTACATCTTCTTGTGTCGGACGCCAGTGATCGTTCAGTTATCATTCCAGAGATATCAATGTATACCTGCTCGATGTTTGTAGGCGTCACCTTCTGTTATTTTCTTTACTATTTTTTACTCTATTATCAGACAGTGTTGTATTAGAGATGTTACTACATTCTATAGAGCTTATGACTCAGTTCCAGTGATTTTGGGAATTTTGTTGTGAGGTTCCATTTTGGAGTTATTATGAGCTTTATCGGTTTATTTATTATTTATGTTTTGTTATTTATATTAAGTTATCAATAAATGTTAGGCTTACCTAGTCATAGAGATTATGTTTCCTCACGACATTCTAAGGTGGGAAATTGGGGCAATGACAATCCCCCTAGCGTCATACGCTTATGCTACTCCCTGATGATGTACACGCGATTATGAAAAATTGATCCATGTTGGGTTTTATGTATCTTCTCTATATACAAATCCTTTGGATGTATACATAATTTTACTGCATATCTCATCTATATTTTAGCTCCGGAATTATATATATGTGTTTTATGCATATCTTCTTTATATGCTGATCTAGTTGATAAACGGATACATAATACATATCTTTTTTGTATGTCTCTCTCTGTGTAACTTGACTTATATATTTTTGCATAACCTTTCTATATTCTTAAATGTTTGTCTGTTGCGATGCTAGTGCATATAATCTTATTGCATCGTTGGTCTTATATCTATTTCATGCATAGGATATTGTTACTGTGCATATATATATATATATATATATATAGGGTTTTGCTAACCTACTACAACAGGTTAGCATTGTATGCATATTTTCCTTCGCAAAAATGCCCTTATTATTTAAGAGCCACCATACTAAGCTTAAGGGCTTTTTGGACCTTCTCCAAACCCAAAAAAATAAAGGCCAAATAAATTAAGATCTCTACGTTCCCACGCTACTAATTGCTCCGGCGGGAAATATTTACACTTTATTTTACGTCTCCAACGTTGGTTCTTCCCAGATTCTAAAAGGATTTTTTTGCTCAAGTTTTTCTCTTTGCCTTACTGCATATATTGTGATGAAGGTACGGCTTTAAATGCTTATTTTCATATCAGAATCATGGTATAAGTTTTTTGTAATTTATTTTTCTTTTGATTTGTTTATGCCACCATTATTTTCATCTTATTTGTCTTTTTTCTTAATCTAACAATCTATATCGATAAAATTTTATACTTTTGTTGGCTTTAAATACAGGTGTTTAATATTTCTGTCGATTTTACGGTAGGTGTCTCAAGAAGTCATTGCCCATGTGGTGATAATGAATGTTATATTAATGGAGAAATTACTGGAAGATCAGATGAAAAACTTAGACATGAAAATATTGACATGGGTAACAATGACTTGTACAAGGGCAAAGTGTTTAATAGTGATGGTGAATCTTATAATTGCTATGTAAATTTTGCTAAACAAATTGGTTTCTCAATTAGACGAGATCACTATTTTGGAAGTGCAGAACGTCCTACGGGAATTTATAGGAGAGATTACGTTTGCCATCGAGCTGGAAGCCCATGTCCTCAGAAGGTTGTTGAAAAAGAACGACAACGAGACCGAAAATCTTCTAGATATAATTGTAATGCTAAGATGTGTGTTGCAAAAGAAATAATTGATGGCGTCACTTGTTGGATAGTGGTGTATTTTGATAATGTCCACAATCATGAACTATTGAATCATAAGGAAGTGAAATTTCTTCTTGCTTATCAAAATATTGACATTATTGATCAAAAGAGGATTATACTTCTTGCAAAAGCTGGATGTTCAATGAGTTTAATCCGTGCTTGAACTAAAAGAATGCTTGATATTCAAAATGTATACAAATTAGAATTAAAAGTTTTTTTTTTTGTCGTAGGATTCAAAAGGGATGAACAATGAAGCTTTGAGGTGATCCCCAGTTGTTATGAAGTCATTTTGCTCACTAGAAAAAATCAATGTACATCATGATTTATTAACGAAAATTAGCCTTTGTTGTATAGAAATTCTTAATTGCAAGAACTCACTGTTTGTTTATGCACATGAAACTTTGTTGCTAACTTGAAGAATCTGTTATATTTCTGAAAAATGATTGATGAATACAAGAGGAGGGGGACTCCAGGCCTAACCTCCAATATTTACAAAGTTAATGAATAAGCTACTAATTTAGAGACCACAATCATACACGAGACTTCCGTCCCTATTTCAAGAATTACAAGTGCTATGAATATTGAAACTTGTAAAACTTCCGCAGCATCAAATATTTCAGCAGTTGCGCCCTTCAGCTTCTAAATTTCATGATTTGTACAATCACAAGCTTGTAAAACTTTAGACAAACAGTCCACGGGTAAAAACCAGTTGCAACTATTCCAAAAAATCAATCTCTTAGCCATGTCAAGCTATATCATTCATACCCTTTAAAAGAACATATTTCTCAGCCAAGAATTGAATCTGTTACATGACCACCAACATGTGGTGACTGCCCCACATTTTTTATATTTCTGGTTTAACATTCAGTATCCAAAAAAACTGGTTCGACTAATTTCGATATGCGTTGGATGGACACATTGCGGGAAAAGTTCTCCATTCCAAGGGCTCGCAACCGAGATCTCAACCATCTCACCACACCCCTCGGTGATGGGGCTACCACACCTTACTTGTTGCTAATTAAGCTGTATAATGGTGTGCTATATGTATCAAGTAATACGTGAATCTCTGGATATGCATAAGAATTTGTCGACAAGGGGCATGTACACATGAATTATCACCATTATTGATACCAAAGGAGTTAACTTTAGAATCCCTACAAATGTTGGAAAGAAAATTTTTAGTTTGTCATCATTGTTAAATTGCACAGTCAATTATCATACAAAATACATAAATGACAAAGCATTCCATCTAAAGAACTTCAAGAGCTTACAAATCAAAAGCCTTATCATAAAATAGAATTGTGCTACAGATATTTGTTTTTTCTGCTTATTTTTGCACAAGTGTATGGGTCTATACTTTCTATATGAAATTTTTACAACCAAGTACGAAAACACAGGAAAGAAGACATTTATGAAATTAAAATGCTCCCTGCAATGCATGTCTCAATAATTAAAAAGATCTATTTTAGACCTACCGTCGTGAACTTTACTATGAATTGAAAAATTTATTGTGAACTTATCTTTAACGATTGTGAGACGAGTGAAAATCTGAATAGTTCTTACATCGACCCAAAACCAAAACTTTGTGGTACCACTACAAGAGTCGATGCCGCTATCTTTGTTTCCCATCAATTTTACTTGCACAACATCTAAAATTCCAAAACATGGATGAACTTGCAGGGAAATTTGGAAAAAAAGAATTAGACATTATGTTTAAAAGAAGAGGAAAAAATTGGGGGATTATACAATTCCTTGATGATTTATATGATGCTTACAAAATTGATATCGAAAATCGAAGATGAAGCTCATATTATCAATGAATTCATCTCTGCAGCCTAATAAAAATGAGAATAGAACAGAGGTGGAGGGGTTACAAATGGAAGAGAGATCTTAATTTATTTGGGATTTATTTTTTTGGGTTTGGAGAAGGTCCAAAAAGCCCTTAAGCTTAGTATGGTGGCTCTTAAATAATAAGGGCATTTTTGCGAAGGGAAATATGCATACAATGCTAAACCCATATATATGTATGTGTATTCATGAATTGTACTGATTCGACACATGATTATCATTTGTGATTCTCGCCACTACCTCTTCGAGATTAGTCATGATACTTACTGAGTATATGTGGTCGGTTGTACTCATACTATACTCTGAACTTAATTGTGCATATCTAGGAGGCGGACCAACTAAGTGTTGAGTGTTGGACTAGTATTGAGATATTGAGACCAAGGTAGAGTTGCTTCCTAAATGCAACTCCTGATGTCTCCTTTTATTTTCTTAAACATTGTTATTTCAGATAGTGTATTGTATTCCAGACCTGTATTCGCATATTAGAGCTTTGTATACGGCTAAAATCGGAGAGTCCGATTTTGGGATCATCATTGCATTCCATAGCTCGTTGCCAGAAGGCTCGAGGCACAACTTGAGGTTTGATGAACCAAAAGGCTCGAGGCACAGCTCGACCTCGGGGCAGTACAAATCGGTGGATGTGATGAACTAGTGGGAGATTCCCAAGGGAAGTGGTTGAAGCTGACCAAGTCTATAATAATAATGCAAGTCCGTATCATGGCATTAAATAGGAGTACCAGCTGCAAATCTTTGTAATAAATGCATATGTACTATGTTGTGATTCCCTCCCTCCCCCCTATATAAAGGGGACCCTTGTTATTTTTTGCACACATGACATTCAATACAAGAACACGAACATTCTGTGCTCTCTAACTTAAACATTCTCTATTATCTTTCCTTCGATTTATTACTTACATTTATTGCGTTTCGTTGATTGTTTTTCATTTATTACTCATCATTGATCATAAAGAGCTATCATCAAAGATCTTAAGACTGTTAGTCCTTCATCTGCCATCCACAACCTAAGGCTTTAGCTCGACCTCGAGGCCCAGAGTAGACCAGCTCGAGGCCCCGATTCCCAGTCATTCGGTTTGCTTATCGTTTTGTCTTTAAACTCTTATCTCATCTTCCTAACTCACACTTAGCATTTACTGCCTAACAACTAGCATTAAGATAAATCACGTATTTTTAGAACCATAAAATCAAATCTAATTGTAATTACCATTTCCAAGGTAAACAGTTTTGAGCCCACCGTGGGGCTAAAAATAATAATGATTGTTTTTGTGCTGGTTTACTGAAAAATGCAAGTTATTCTTTACACTTTTTCTTGTCCAAGAATCTTTGATTTCAGGTCAAATTGTCTAACTCGGTGAATGCACATGAAAGCAATGGTCTTGAGGACCATGGAAAGAATGGTATAGTTGTTTCAGGCGTCAGTGTGCCACTGCGAAACCCTGAAGACGCACCAGTACCAATCCCCGTGGATGTAGTCTCACGAATTGCCCAATACGTCGATATAAGCTCCCACACTAATGGGAGTATACGCCAAGAAAACCAACAAGAAGTTCAGAAAACCCCAGCTTGAGAGGAACAAGAGGTTAAACTTCACGTTATTTTTGAGATGTTGTAGGCACAACAGCTGGCGATTGCTCAACTGCAAAACCACCAAAAAACTCCAAGCACAGCAGCACCGGAAACGGCTCCTCGAGCCGAACATGTAATGGAAAGATCGAGCAACAACGGGTCAGCAGCCGACCCCGCTATCATAAAGATTCTCGAGGACCTCACAAAGAGGATTGAATCCGGCAAAAAGAAGATAGAAGCCAATGATAAAAAGATGGAGACCTACAATTCAAGGGTCGACCAAATCCCGGGCGCACCCCTGATCCTAAAGGATGTTGATTCAAAGAAATTCGTACAAAAGCCATTCCCATCAAGTGCGGCTCCGAAGCCCATCCCGAAGAAATTCAGAATGTCTGATCTCCCAAAGTACAACGGAACCTCGGATCCGAACGAGCACGTCACTGCCTACACTTGCGCTGTAAAGGGAAATGACCTGAAGGACGACGAAATTGAATTCGTCCTGTTGAAGAAATTCGGGGAAACACTTTCAAAAGAGGCCATGATGTTGTATCACAACCTATCCCTGAATTTGATACACTCATTCGCCATGTTGGCAGATTCATTTATAAAGGCACATACCGATGACATCAAGGTTGCTACAAGGAAATCCGACGTCTTCAAAATCAACAGAGAGAAATCGAGATGTTGTGGGAGTTTGTATCTCGCTTTCAAATGGAGTAAATGGAGTTAACGCCTGTCTCCAAGGACTGGGGAGTGCAGGCCTTCACCCAAGGTTTGAATGAACGAAGCTCGGTACCTTTGAAGCAGCTAAAGTAGAACTTGGTTGACTATCCCATCGTAACTTGGCCGGATGTCCACAATTGGTATCAATCAAAGATTAGGGTCGAGGACGACCAACTGGGAGCCCTCTCCGGCTTAGTATATTCTAGCAGGCTCCTAGCAAAGGATCCAAAGCCAAATAAGGAAAGGTACCAACCATACACTGAAGATCGAAGAAATGCCCCAAGGCGTAATTTACCCCGAAATGATTGAACGGCTGATCCAGGTCAGAATCCTTGGGGACTCGTGAGTAGAGCTGAATTCGACAGACACACAAGGCCGACAGAGGCACCCCGGTTATCTGAGTACAATTTCAACATCGATATTTCGGACATCGTATCAGCCATCAGTAAAATCAAAGACACCAGGTGGCCAAAACCCGTACTATTGGACCCGTCGCAATGGAACCATAACCTGGTATGCAAATTTCACGGCACGCACGGTCATAGGACTGAAGATTGCAGATAGCTCCGAGAAAAAGTAGCCTGACTACTTAACAAAGGGCACCTTCGAGATTTCCTCAGCGACCGAGCCAAAAATCAATTTTGGGAAGGAGAGGCGAACATGAAAAATGAAACAGAAGAACCACGACATGTCATCCATATGATTGATGGGGGAGTCGACATCCCATAGGAACCCATTGTTAAACGAACAAAAATATCCATCACTAGGGAAAAGTGAACTCGAGGTTACATACCCGAGGATCCTCTCACATTCAGCGACGAGGAAATCAAGACCCTGTCTTAGCCTCATAACGACGCATTGGTAATTTCTTTTCTTGTGAATACATTTCAAATTAAACGTGTTCTTGTGGATCTAGGTAGCTCAGCCAACATTAGCAGGTCGAGGGTGGTGGAACAGCTCAGACTGCTCGACCAGATCATGCATGCTTCTCGAGTCCTCAACGGATTCAATATGGCGAGCGAGACAACGAAAGGGGAAATCACCCTCCCAGTCAACGTGGCCGGCACAACCCAAAATGTCAAGTTTCATGTCATCGAAGGAGACATGAGATACAATGCCTTTCTCGGAAGGCCATGGATACACTACATGAGAGCAGTACCATCAACCCTTCATTAAATGATGAAGTTTCCAATGAATGACAGAATAAAATGATATACGGGGAGCAGCACGTAGCAAGAGAGATGTTCGTGGTGCACGATGTGACACCGACATCGACACCTTCAACATCGAAGGAGCCAAAGGATAAGAAAACAACGAAATAACAATTGCAAGCTGCATTCTCAGTCATAATCGAGTAAATAAGCGAAGGTCCGTACCGCGTTCCTAGATTGAGTTGTTAAAGCATATCGAGGCTCGAGCACCATCACAACTAAGGTATAGTCGTCTCCCTTTATTCTTTGCATCTTACACTAACTTCTGTGCAGGCGTCCGCTTAAGAAGAATTGAAGTACCTTCCAGCTTGAAGACCTTAGGTTTTAAAGCATGTGTTGCACTCTTTTACTTTGATCGGATTTTATCCCAAGAAGGGTTTTACTGAAAAGGTTTTTAACGAGGCAACATCTATATGCTACCTAAGAAAAACTTAACAAGTATTTAAGGCTTCTCTTCAATCAACCTCGAACACTGGGGGGCATCCCCTCGGGAGATCACCTTCTCGAAGAAGTCAAGATGAACCAAAAAGGTCTCGATAGGAAAATGATGTATCGGGCCAAAAAATTGAATGAACCGTGTCCGCATAGAATAATTGAACCCTTGACGACGAAAACATGCATACCTGTACCAAGTAATCAAAGGAGTATCTTTTACCACCAAAAATGCTTCGCGCTTCAAAGAAGTCTTCTATTTTTACAAGAAACGGCTCCAGGGCCAGAAATCTCCCGAACACTCAGCGACTAACATCAAAAACACGAAGTGGTAGGACCTCCGGGTCGGAAACTTCAAACTAGTAAGCCCCCAACGAGGCAACATCAAAGTTTACAAAGAACGGCTCTAGAGCCAAAAAAGTGCTCAATGTCTCGGGGACTATCGCCGACTGTCGCCAATCGAGCTATCAAAAACTCGAGGCCATAAGGCCCCGTGCGGGCAACCTCGAGCTCATAAGACCTCCATAAGGCAATACCAAATCTGTAAGACCTCAAGCAAGGCATGAATCATACTTGTACCAAGAATCTGTAAGACCTCAAGCAAGACATGAATTGTACTTGTGCCAAGTGACCTATCTGTAAGACCTCAAGCAAGACATGAATTGTACTTGTGCCAAGTGACCTATCTGTAAGACCTCAAGTAAGGCATGTTCGAGTTTATAAGACCTTACAAAAGGCATAATCCCAATCTTAAAGTTAAAGCTATATATTCGAACTTGTAAGACCCCTAAAAAGGCATACCCTTGATATAGATGACGAAGCTACTTCACTCAGGGACTAAAAGGCTACGGCCAAACACAATGACTATAGTCATAAGGCTCTCGCCAAACTAACGCGACTCGAGGATGCCTGATCGTCGCCATAAAATCACAGGCCTTCAATTACTTCAAAAATACTTCAAAAAGAACCGGTTAATCAGGCTACCCTCGGCATAAGAAAAAGAGCTTCGATCAAATTAGCTCCAAACAATAAAAGGCTTCGAAACAATTCGGCCATCGAGTGAAAC